GGGGCGGCAAAACCGCGGCTCCGACGTAGAAGCGGGAAGCGAGTCCAGCGGCGCTGGGCCTCGGGGCCGCCCCAGTCCTGTTTGAGGAGTGCCGGGTGGGCCGGGGCCCACCTCCCCGCCCGCGTCCCTGGGTGCCGGGGCCCTTCCCCCGGCTGGTCTCCGGCATCTCCTGCGTGAGAAAACGAGGTACCTCAGGGCGTGAGGGCCGGTTCCGTGGTCCCCTTGGGCTGCTGCTGGTGCAGCCAAGCGGTAGTCTCCGACGGGAGAGCCGTGCTGGCTGGGTTTCAGCAGCCACAGGACTTAGCACCTGCAAGGAGGAGGCAGGGAAACAGAGAGGAACGGGATGGGGGAAATGGCGGGGCTTTGGGTGGCAGCCTGGTCTTGGTTACGCTTAAGCCTTCAGTGAGATTGCGTGTGTTGAAATGTCCTCGGTCAGAGGATAAAGAAGCAGTTTGGCAGATGTGCTGGAAAAACAGTTTTTTTCAAAAGTGGTATTGCGGAGCTCCAGAATTGCTGTCTGTCAAAATGGCTTGGTTAACATGTTATTTGTTGTGACTGCTTTTTAGCAGTTAACATATAGCCTAGCAGTTCTAAAGCAGGCCAAATAAATATTTTCCTGAGTTCTGTACAAATATGTCATGAGACAATTGTCCTTATAGGGTTTACAAACAAGTGGGGAACTACTGAATTAAGTTAAAAAAGAGTTTTATTGGCTTCATAGCGCACATTATCATTGTATAATAATGAAAAAAAATGCGGTGGGGCTTGTGGGCATAGACGATGTAAAGTCAAGGGCTGCAGTCTTATCATAGATGTAGTTTACTGCTAATAATGAGAGTGAAACATGCATAGAAAAGTGCATTGTCATAGCTACATTGCAACACAAGAAATAATGAAATCTGGGGCTGTTACTTTATTGATTTGCTCCCTTTTGCTTTCCATGTGTTGTTTTTCTTCTTTTCCAAAAATAACCATGCAAGCCATGCGATATGATATTTGGTCATCAAGCTCTTTTCACCTCATTAGCCTCATTTCCATTTTTATTACTGTCTGGCATTGATTATTTTTGAATCTGAAATGAGGTCTGAGTGTCCAAGAGGAAAGAAGATGGTCCTAGCTTTTTGGCCCATCTGTAATTTTCACTGTGGAAAGTTTAATAAAGATTCATATTAATCAGTAAAGCCCTTCAAGTTAAATTATTTAATTGGTTTACATTATTCAGTCTCAAAAATCATTAGATGAAACACAAAAAGGGCCAGCCTGCCATATGATAGTTTAGTGTAGAAAAATAGAATTCTAGAAAGACAAAAATGTGTCCAGAAATATCTTGGAACATGACAGGGGATAGAAGTGATTTTTTTCAAGTCTTCAGAAATAGTTGATTTTGGGAAAAAATACTACAAAATTCTCACTCTTGAGACCAAATACCAAATTTAACTGTTTCCCTGACAAATTACCTAACATTTACAGACCCGTAAGAAGTGTGGTGCAATGTGCTATAATTCCGCTAGATGACAGCCAATTCAACAAATCACTCTATTAACCGACTATTCAAAGGGAATCCCGACTTTGGTTAGGTGGGCCTTACTGCTGCCACCCCTTTCGCCCTGAAGTCAGTGCTGCTGTTCCTTAGCCTCGTCTCCTGCCTCCTCTTAAACGTTACCGCTGCTTTCCCACTGCCCCCTTTTCCTCCAGTATCTCGGTATTTGACGCTCCTCGGGTAGGCAGAGGTTTATCAGGTTGGGCTCCGCACTATGCTATGCATCATCTTTAATATTGTCAAGTTTTGCATAATTGAGAACTTTGTTCAAGAAACCATTCAAAGATACTTAAGCCTTAGCTATATATATATGTCACTGTTTTGTGTTGGTTTTTTTCATTAGATACAGTCTAAGCATATTTATATGGTTAAAAATACTGAAGAAAACAAATAAAAAGTAATTGCTGGGAAGTTCTTCTTTCTCCATACGTACATAACCTCATGTTTTTAATGTTTTACTTATGCCATCTATATTTTGGCTATAATATTGATGCAGTTTCATTTTCGTGCTCTTGATTGAATTCCAGCTGATCCCATATCAGCTGGTATGGCATGTAGCAGAGTCCAACAGTAAAATTAGATTTGTTTTCATCTTTAATTTTCTGACTTGTCACTTGCAGGAAAAGAACACTATATCAAATTTATAAATGAAGACTTAATTAGAGCTCCAATTTCAAGATGCCTGCGTGATTCCTTAATGATTCTTACTAGCCGTTTTGCCAGATATTTACTTACAGTGTTGTTGTAAGCCGAAGAATATTCTGTATTTCATGCAAAAGCTAACAAAAACTAGACCTTATAAATTGTTATAAAGTAGATTTTAAAGCCAAGCATTATTAGAGGTGCTTTTAGGCTAAGGTAAGTGAGAGAGAGATTTTAAGGGAAGAGGAATTAAATAAAAAGGATATACAGGATAGGCTGTAGAAGGAATACATTTTTCTAACTTTTATATTTGGAATTAATCACAGAATAAGATCAGACTGCTTCAGGTACCACAGGGTATAAACTTAGTCTGCCTGAGTGGGATTAAGTTCGCCTGTTTGCTATAATTGTAATCAAGAAATAATATGACTTCACTGTTCAGCAAAATGCGGCTGCCCTGCAGGAGTGTTCTTGCTGGGGTTACGCTCATGCTGAGGCTCCTACCTGCAGATGCAAGAACACTTCTTTTCAAGTTAACATCCAGCATTTGGGCAAGGTTCACTGCACGCAGGGCTAGCTACTTATCCATGTTCCTCCATATCATGAGGCTTAAGAATTTTGTAGTCAGGATATTTTTCCAAGTTTATTAAAAATTCTCGCGTGTTTCTATTATGAAAGATCTGTATTATGCTATTTTAGTTCCTTTATTTGTATTTTGTATTTTTTCAGTGATGTATTTCTGATCTGCTTCCTTGAGCCTTCTTAGTTCTAAAGGCGTGTCTAGGTTTCAGTGGGTAGGCAAAGCATGTTTTGTTTGTTTTCCCCTCGGTATTTTAGTGTCTGTGTAGTGATGGTAACCATTTCTTCTCAGGGATGGCAGAGAGAGGCAGTCTCCAAAGCACACAATGGTTTGGATTTCAGAGATTTTTTGTTTGTCACGCTACCAGAAATCTTCTGAGGAAATTAAGTTCCTCATGGAAACCATGTGAAAAGGGAAGTGGCCAATCTTACCATTCAAATTCCCCCTATCTTAGCCATATCTAATTAGAACTCCAGCAGATAAAGTCTGTGTGTGGCTCAGGGTGATTCCATCCCAAATAGCAGAGACTTGAAAACAAGGGGAAACAACAGAACTTATAACAAAAGTTGTAAAGCAGCTTAGGTATGCGGTGTGCTCTCATTTCCCCAAAGTAGTTGTCTGTGAGGTTGTACAGTCTAATCAAACAATCCATTCTGAATTACCTGCATATTATAATGCCTTATTGTACATGATGTAATTTTAATTTTAATGATCATTTAATGTTGGCATAGCTTTGTCGTTTAAAGACGCATCACTTCATGCTGTAGCACAGGCTGTGCCCGGCAGCTGGCTGTGGAAGGAGATCTATGTCTATGGCCTCAGCGCAACTTAATGTGAATTTACACCTATTTGTTTAAACTTGGCTAAACCTTAGACTTGTGTTGTATTAAACAAAACAATGTCCAACAATGTTGGAGCATTTACCTGTCAGTCTACATCAATTTAACTAACCCAGCTTTAACTGAAACAGATCAGATTCGTGTGGCAACAAAGAATGAGGGAGGGAATATATTAAGAAATTGATAATTTCCATCAGGAAGGAAAGTAGCACACATATCAATGTATAATGTACCATCTGTAAATCCAGTTGTGAACTTGCATGCAATACTAGTAATTAGCTACTTCCATAATTATTTCCCACTGGAATTAGTCAGACTACTTCCATAAATAACTGCTCATTGTTTTAATTGACTTCACAGACTTCCCAGTCTGGCCTGATGTTATCAGACTGAAATTATAAATTACTTGGAATGTAATCTTTTTCTAATTATTGGCTCAGTACTGGGGCTGGTCCTGTTCAATATCTTTATCAATGATCTGGACGAGGGGATTGAGCGCACCCTCAGTAAGTTTGCAGATGACACCAAGTTGGGTGGGAGTGTCGATCCACTGGAGGGTAGGAAGGCCCTACAGAGGGACCTGGACAGGCTGGATCGATGGGCTGGGGCCAACTGTATGAGGTTCAACAAGGCTCAGTGCCGGGTCCTGCACTTGGGTCACAACAACCCCACGCAACGCTACAGGCTGGGGGAGGAGTGGCTGGAGAGCTGCCTGACAGAAAAGGACCTGAGGGTGTTGGCTGACAGCTGCCTGAACATGAGCCATCAGTGTGCTCAGGTGGCCAATAAGGCACATGGCA